CGAATGAGCCGGAGGATGAAGTGGAACTGCGGAGTGGTGCAGCCCTGAGCCAGCACGTTGCGATGCTGTTAGAGAGAGAGGTTGAGAGTGTGCATATGGCGCCGTATGGCACTGAGTGTTGATTTCAAGATGCGGTGAGAGCAGCTGTCTGTGGAACGTTGAACATCATGAAGATCCCTGTGATCCTGGGTGGATTCAAAACAGGAGGGATGGACCTTCAGTTGGAATCCACACGAGATGAGTTTGAGCCAGAGGCAGTCACTGAGGAATGTGATATGGCTGTGGAAATGAGTTTTAGCAAATACCTGGTCAAACACCAGGAGTGACAGTGAAATTAAAGTCAGTGGGCAAGAAGAGAGATTGGAACAGAAACCCCATTGGAGAGAGGAGCAGAACTTCTTCAATGTGGGCATGCCTGGAAGAGATGTGGCAGTGAGTTAAATACTAAATAAAAACCAAAAGAACTGCAGATGCTGTAAATCAGGAACAAAAACAAAGTTGCTGGAAAAGCTCAGCAGGTCTGGCAGCATCTGTGAAGGAGAATACAGAGTTAACGTTTCGGAACAGGTGACCCTTCAGGTTGTTGACTTGCTCATCGAGCTAGCTTGTTTTTGTTCAGACGTTTCATCACCATGCTAGGTGACATCATCAGTGGAGCTTCCGATGAAGCCATGTTATTCTACTCTGCTTGGAATTTGTACTGCCTGGTCCATTATGGTGAGTAGTGTCATTTCCGGCTGTGATCTGTATGGATTTGTATATGGGGTCCAATACTATACGTTTGTTGATTGAAGTATTGGTGGAGAATTTAACTGAGACAAGGTAACCATTGTAGCCCAAGCCAAACATAAACACGCACAGAAATTCCTAGAGGCATGGTTCTCCACTCATCCTTCAACCAACAAACATATAGAATTGGACCCCATGTACAAACCCATACAGATCACAACCGGAAATGACAGTACTCACCATAATGGACCAGGCAGTATAAATTCCAAACGGAGTAGAATAACATCGTTTCATCGGAGGATCCACTAATGATGTCACCTAGCATGGTGACAAAACGTCTGAACAAAAACAAGTCAGCTCAGCAAGCAAGTCAACAACCTCGTCCACAACCCGAGCTACAGATCTTTGCCAAAACTTCAAAGTGTACTTCAGTCTGTTTTTTAAAAAAGCAAGTGAGGAAATTATGATGGCTCTTGTTCTCATTATCAGTCTTCCCTGGCTACAAGAGTGGTGCTTGAGGATTGGAGGACTGCTATAGTTGTACCATCTTTTAAAAGGGGAAGATGGGATAATCTAAGTAACTATTGGCCAGTTAACTGAACTTCAGTTTTGAGTACATTATTGCAGTCAGTTCTGAGGAAAGGTCATGTCTGGCCAAGTTGTTAGACATTCTGAGGAGGTGACAATTAGGGTTGATAAGAGCAATATGATGAATGTGGTCAACTTAGAGTTAACCAAAACTTTCAACGAGGCCCCATATATGATGATCAAAAAGGTTCAAAGTTGTAGGAATTCAAGGGAGGGTAGCAAATTGAATCCAAAAGTGGCCTTGTGTTGGAGGAAGCAAAGGGTGACGGTTGAAAGTATTTTTTGTAACTGGTGGCATTCCACAAGACTTAGTACTCATTCCCTTGCTTTTGGTAATTTATATCACTAATATAGACTCCAGTGAAGGAGGCATGATAAAGAAGTTTGCAGATAATACAAATGTTGGTCGTATAGTTTATGGTGAGGAGGAAAGTTTTAGACTGCAGGAAGCTAGAGATGATCTGGTTATTTGGGCAGAAAAGTGGAAAATGGAATTCAATCGATTGAAGTAGATAGTGCATTTTAGGAGGTGCAACAAGACAAGGATAATACACATTAAATATGAAGATACTAGTTATGTGGAAGAGCAGAGAGACTTTGGAGTGGATATCAACAGACCCTTAAAAGCAGCAGGACAAGCTATAAAATGTTAAATAGAATATAATTATGGTTTCTTTTATTAGCCGAATCATCGAATATAACAGCAGGGAGACTATTCCAGCAGTTTTTACACTGCTGGTTAGAGGACAGTTGTTACAAATGTGAGGCTCTATAAAATGATTATGTTTAGACTGATTCCTTTAATTAAAGATAAAATAAAATTGTGTGTGTTGATCTGCCCAGCAACAAGTCCAAGTGATCTGATTGCCTTGGGGACAGGTCCCTAACACCTGGAAACAATGGATTACGCAGCTGGCCTTAGTAATACCAGAAATACTGACTGAGACATCCTGGACAGAAAGGGAGATAAGGGAACAGCAGCTGCTGTCAACAGCGGAGGTAGAAGGCTGCTTTCTATGAGCCAGCAGGTGGGTTCCTGCTGAGGACTCCTTCTCTGGTACAAGAGACAGAGCTGTGGAGGTTTCTGGACAAAAATCCCTTGTGTGACTGGAAAGAGTTGGGTTAGGGATTCTCCGAAGACAAGTGGAAATGACTTTCAATAGACACTACAAAACAGGAAAATGAGCTTTTTAGAAGTTGGCAGTAACTTTGGACTGGTTGCTGTAAAGATGTCAATTTTGCAGATAATGTACAGAGAACAACACAGCACAGGAATAGGCTCTTCAGCCCACCAAGACTGCACTGATTTCTAATTCTTATTTAGACCAACTACTTATCACCCATACTCAGTTTCTATCTCTCTGTTCACCTCCTGTTCATGTGTCTATCAAGATACGCCTTAAATCTTGCTAACGTGCTTGCTTCCATTACCTCCACTGAAAGCACATTTCAGAAACCCACCACCCTGTGTGTGAAAAATGTTCCACACACTACTCCCCTAAAATTTCCCCCTGTCACCTTGAACCTGTATCCTCTTGTAGTTGACCCTTCCACCTTGGGGAAAAAGCCTCTGACTATCTATCCTATCTATGTCTCTCATAATTTTGTAGATCTCAATCAGATCGCCCCTCAGCCTCCGTCTTTCCAGTGAAAACAATCCAAGTTTATCCAACCTCTCCTCATACCTAAAACTCCCCAGACCAGGCAACATCCTGGTAATTCTTCTGTGCACCCTCTCCAAAGCATCCACATCTTTCTGGTAGTGTGGCGGCCAGAACTGCATGCAGTGTTCCAAATGTGGCCTAACTAAAGTTTTATACAGCTGTAACAGTACTTCCCAACTTTTATATTCAATGGCCCAGCCGATGAAGGCAGTGTGCTATATGCCTTCTTGACCACTTTATCCACCTGTGTTGCCACTTTCAGGGATCTGTGGACCTGTACACCCAGATCCCTCTGTATGTCAATGCCCCTAGGGCTCTGCCATTTATTGTATAATTTGCACCTGAATTTGTTCTTCTAAAATGCATCACCACACATTTGTTTAGATTAAATTCTATCTGCCATTTCTGTGCCCAAATCTGCAATCTATCTATATGTTACCTTATCCTTTGACAGTCCTCACTATCTGCAACTTTGCCGATTTTGGTGTCGTCCACAAACTTACTAATCAGACCTCCTATTTTTCTTTGCTCCAGATCATTATATATATTACAAACAACAAAGGTCCCAGCACTGATCCCTGTGGAACACCACTAGTATGTATTGTGAAAACAAAAACTATGTAGGGTTTTTGGTTACATTAGGAAGTTAAAGGAGGATATTCTCTGTAGTTTAGTGCATTAATTACTACCTGAGTAAAGTTTAATCAGTGGAGATTTAAACATGTTTGTTACAATTAATGTCTTAATATGTGAAATCATGTGATGTTATCATTTGAGTTAGTCACTGGGAAGGTGGATCTCTTAAGTTTTTGGTCCCTAAGGGGATCATTAATAAAAGCTTGAGTACTGCAGGAAGTTTTAGTCATCACATTACAGCAAAAATGATAGTGCAGAATAGTCTGAGGATGTAACCATATCTGGAAAATTTTAGGTTTGAGGAAGGATTCAGTAGTCTTGAGTTTGTTTTCCTTGGAACAAAGAAGGCTCAAATTTGACTTAATTGCAGTTTATAAAATTCTGAGAGGCCCAGATAGAATAAATTGGAACAACTCACTTACCGTAGCCAAAGGATCAAAAATTATGGGGATCGTAGATTTAAAGCAGTTGGAAAAGGGACTGGGGGGGGTGGGGGAAGAGGAAGTACTTTTCACCCAGAGGATGATAAGGACCCAGAATTCACTGGTCAGAAGTGTGGAAAAGACAGAATATCTAAACCCTGGTTAAAAAGTACCTGGATGCCCACTTGGACAGCAGTACTACATAGAAACTTCCAAATGACAACCAAACGAAATGTTCAAAAAAGACTGTAAAATCCAATGAAAAGCCTGCATGCTGGTTTAGAAAAGCAGTAGCCTTTCAAAATTAAGTGATTGCATCCTGATCTGTGTTACTATCTGTTGTCAGTGCAAGTTATGTAGGTGTGCTTTTAAAAAAAAAAATAAACTTGTGGGCCCTGCATGTAGAGCAGAAGAATCTCTCCTAACCTGATAAACAGCTGAGTTCCCCAACATTAAGAATTAGTGCAATATTTTTATCTATGTTTAACAGTGCATTTAACTTGAAAGCTTCCTTTTAAATGCAAATGTTGTAAACACCGATTGATGTCTTAATGTAGGCCCAAAGGTGAAATAAGTTATCTATAAAGATTACACTCTCTTTCTCAGTTGGAAAACATTTCGTAGCTAAGACTAGAACTTGTTTACAAACAGTTATTGATGCCGATCCTTTTCTCTTCCGACATGTAACATTGAGACGCAGATTAAATGATTTAATTTGTAAATACAAATTCTGCAGGTTTATGCTGAAAGGTTGAAAATGCAGGAAATGTTAAGCATATCAAAGTTGGGTTATTTCCAGGATAAGCAGTGCCATGATACAGTTACCAGCAATGGGTTATAGAAATTGTTTTCATGGTTGGGAATTTCAGATTCTGCAATATCTTAAGTGTTTGCTTTAGTTAGCTAAACTTTCAGGAGATTTTACTATCTTCTAACTTGTGTTTTAATTGTTTTTGTTTAGGGAAAGAAAAACTATGTTTTGACAAAAGCGATGCACAACAAGCATTTACAGTTGTGCTTGAAGATGATGGGACAATTGTTGATGATGAAGACTATTTTACATACTTGCCAGAAAACACAAAATTCATGATCCTTGACTCCGGTCGGGAATGGACTCCTGCTAACATAGGTAAGTTGCTCTTTAGGGAAAGCTGAATGCTCATGTTAATTATGGACAGGCAGTATCACAAAATTTTAAGGACATGAAATTAAGTAGACACAGTATTTATGATATTGCTTATCCATAATTTTCCCTTCCAAAGGATTTAGTGAAATTTAGGTCCAGAGTTTTCTGCTAGAGGAACAATGAGTTTATTGTGAAAACACTGTTAATGTGTAAATCATTCAGCAAGTTATGACAGAAAGGAGACCCTGTATATTATGATGCCCCATATGTTGCTGGTGGATTTCTGAAAAATGGTACCTCAACTTTTCCATTGCGCAATGTCTTGATCATATTGAACACAATCAGTAACTTCATTGCAGGCATTTCCATCATACCAGTATTAGCATCAAGCCAGGGGAGCAACCCTATTTTAATGAAGAACATAGAAGAAGATACCAGAACCCAGACATACCTAAAAACAAGGTGCCAACTTGGTGAAGCTACAACAAAGAATTATATGTATGATAAAATATGGAAGCAACATGTCATAGACAGCTAAACAATCCCACAACCAATGGGTCAGATCAAAATTCTGCCATCCTCCCAAATTCACTTGTGAATGATGGTGGTGGAACCCAATATATTGGTGGAAAAGAAGAGGCTGAAGCATTTCCAGTCATTTTCAGCCAGAAGTACCAAGCGAATGATCCATTTCAGCTGACTCCTGAAATGCTAAACCTAAGCCTTTTTGATTTATTTCAACCAATACTAAGAAGCATCTGAAAGCATTGAATAAGCAAAAGTTGTATGCTCTGTCTAACATCCTGGCTGTACTACTGAAGTCTTGTGTTCTAGAACCAGAGATTACCCGTAGGCAAGCTGTTCCAGTACCTGCCCCATGTGGAAAATTGTCCAAATATAATCTGTCCATAAAAGAAGCAGAACAAATTTTAACCTAGTCAATTACAGTCCCATCAGTCAATTCTCATTCATCAGCATAATGATGAAAGAAGTCACCAACAATGCTATCAGAAGGCTGTTGCACAGCAATAACCTGCTTATCAGTGCTTGCCACTCAGCTCCAGACCTTTTTTAAAGGCTTAGCCAAAAGATGGGTAAAAGAGCTGAATTTCAGAGGTGATGTAAATATCACTGCCTTCGACATCACCACGGTATTTGACCAAGTGTGGCACCAAACAGCCCAAGCAAAATTGAGGTACAAAGGAATTGGGAAAAGCTTTCTGTTGGTTGAGTCAAACCTAATATTAAGGAAAATAGTTGTGATTGCTGTTGCTATTACCCTTTGGCATTTCTGTTCAAGAACTTTGCTGCTGGAGTTACTCGGGGTAGTGGCAATGTCTCGACCATCATCAACTGCTTTATCGACGACTTTTGCTCTAACAAGGTCAGAAATTGAGATGTTCACTGATAGTTGCACAATATTCAGTACTATTCATAAATCAACGGCATCCAGCATTATCTGGACAATATTTAGGTTTAATCAGAAAATGTAAGAGTTCTGAAGAAAAATCATTACGGACTTGAAATGTTAATTCTGTTTCTGTCTCCCCAGATGCTGCCAGACCTCCTGAGTTTCTCCAGCATTCTGTTTGATTCTGATTCCCAGCTTCTGCATATTTTGCTTTTTGAATGTAGAGGCTTGGGTTACTAAGTGGTCAGTAACATTTACACAAGTACAGGCAATGACCATGTCCAAGAAGACAGAATGTGACCACCTCCCTGTGACATTCACCGGCATTGCCATCGCTGATTCCCCAACAATCAACATTCTGGATTATCACATTGACCAGAAATTTAACTGGAACTGAGGTATTGTGGCCACGAGAGGTCATAAGCTTGAAATTCTATGATAACTCACTTTCTGACCCCCCAAAGCATGTCCACCATTTACAAGGGGCAAATGAGGGGCTGTGATGGTATACTCTCCACCTGCCTGGATGAGTGCAGTTCTAGCAACACTGAAGAAGCTTGACACCATCCACTTGATCATTTCAAGCTTTCCCTCCCTCCACCAGTGACACAATTGCCAGCCATGTGTACCATCCACAGGATGCAAGGCAACAACTTATCCAGCCTCCTTTGAAAGCTCCTTTTATATAGTGACTATTGCAACTTCACTCTGTTCAACAGCAAAAGAAATATTATTGTCCACCATGATAGAGTGTTAGTGCTGCCTCTCATTTTGCTCAGTAACATCTACTTTGTCAAACAATGTGACACCAAAAGCTTTCTTCTGTACCTGCAGGAATCAAGAGCAACTTGGATACAAGAACGAATGATGATGTTGATGGTGGTGTTGGATCTATAGACTCTGTGGATTATCCGGAGGAATCCAATGATTGGAGAGTTCTCGCTAAACAATTGAGACAGAATCTTGCCAGAATTATTACAATGTCTGAATCTGATCTTCAGGTAACAGCAAAAGCTCAATAGATTTACTATAGAGTACAAAGGTTCAATGAAACAGCGAGTAATGGCCTAGTGGTAAGGTCACTGGACTAGTTTAAACAGCAGCACACATTCGCACAGTCCCAGGCGCTGTATGTTGTCGTGCGCAAAAGTCCACACTGCACGTGTGCACATAAGGCAAGGCACATGTTTGAAACATGAATTGAATGGGACTGGAGGGGAGAAAGGGAAGCGAAAGACAAGGGCAAGGGGGTGCTTACTTTGAAATTATATTCAATTATATAGACAGCCAAAATGCAAAAGGAGTCAGTGTCAAGTCGCAGAAAGTGTTCATGGATCCAGCCTTTTTCATATTGGGAGCCAGCCGTGACAAAGATGCACATGCGGACACTTCAGTAAATCTCATCCACTAGCACATGCACAAGCATCTCCCTAGAAGATACTGCGCATGCTCCTGTGTGTCAGTGAGTGCAGCCTTTTATGCAGCTTAAAACTTAGAAATCACTAGGAATCTCAAACTATCAAATCATTCTTCCATATTAGTTATTAGATTAACCCAGGTCAGAAGCATAAACTCATTCATTGCCTCCTTAACTGATTTTAATGTTTTAATTAATGTTAACAGCTGGACTGTTTCAGGTTTTTGGTGAGATAGGAAAATCCCTTCACACCAGCTGGGAAGCCATTGTCAATGAGTTTCTGTTTACACACTTGTGGAAATAATTAATTGACTTTAAATACGTCTCCTCATCCTTTTCAAGATTAGTTTAGTCTGGTTCCGATCGCAGTTGAATCTACAAGAAAGTCAGCTTCCTTTTTAGAGCTATTTTGTAGAACTCTTCAAGTCCATTTGAAGACAGTGTGTCACCAAAGAAAGTCAATGTCAGAATGAGTTGCTGAAAAATGGGACAGGCGTAGGCATTCAGTGGAACCTGTGTAATCAAAACACTTGCACCTGTATCAGAGATAGCAGGAACTGCAGATGCTGGAGAATCTGAGATAACCAGGTGTAGAGCTGGATAAACACAGCAGGCCAAGCAGCATCAGAGGAGCAGGAAGGCTGAC